TTGATATAATTTTCTATCCTATCGGATCCGATGGGATTTTGAAAATTCAGTTCGGAGAATGGCGAAAAATGCATAGTTGTATCTCACATCCTAGCCTAGCATTGATACAATTTTATATCCTATCGGATCCGATCGGATTTTGAAAACTGTGTTCCGGAATTGAGCAAATGGGCATACCTACATGTGTATTTTCTTGTTTAGCGTTGATATAATTGTCTTTCGTGTCGAATGTGATAGATTTTTGAAACTGATTCCTGGAAAGGCTAGAGATGTGTGCGTATAGAGCTCTGTTCGATAATATTATGGTTAGAATGTTGTATCGTGTAAGATTGTATTGAATGTGTGGAATATGGGTGTGGAACTCTTTGTTGAGGAAGGGATGTATGCAATTTAGTGTCTGTTTTTGCTTTCATCGATTGGTAGGCTAGTTTGAGTATGTTTTTGAAAGGCGATGTTTAGTGTAAAACGCATGTAGTTTTTTAATTCATGAGAATGTGTCGTTAGGGGCGAATGTTTAGCTTTTTTTGGCTGGCTTTAGCAGAGATGCTATTATGGACGTCTCGTAATTTTATGAGGATAGATTGGTGAATAGTATTGTTTGAGTTAGGCTTCGCAGGCGGTTCGTGATGGTTTTGTGTATGTGTATATTAGTATTTCGAATTTGTGTGCATTATTTATTGTGCGTTAAGATGTTTTTTTGGTTTTAAATATGGCATTTGATGGATTATGAACAGTTGGAGCGATTCGGCTTCCGTTAGTAACGTTAGTGTTGGCTGCCGAAAGTGGTTTCCGATCGGCTTCCGTTCCGATAGCTGCCGATCGGATGTCGACAGTAGGATCCGATAGGATTGCCGATACCGGGGATTCCGTCACATTTCCGTAACCGGTTTTCCGGGAAAATCCGATAGGATTCGGCCGAATTTGGTAGGAATCCGATAGGATGCCGATAGGATCCGAGACGGAACCTATCGGATCCTATTATCAGATTGGTCGACCTGGGTAATAATCCACCAAAATTTTAAAGGCTTTTCTTTTGTTGAATACGAGAATGGTGATTTATAAAATTGTTTCAGAACTTCTGTGACAACTCTTAGATGAGATACTAACAGGACTCAAAGAATACCTAATTGGGCACGGGTTGATAGTTGATAAAATATGGACTGACCTTCTGATAAGGCGTAATCTGTCGGTAGAAAATGGAAATTAAATAATGATAGAAAGTTATAATATTAAACAGAGTCTACCTAAGACTTTTTTATCTGTCCAATCTAAGATGATTTGAGCCTACCTAAGCCTTTTTATATGATCAATTTAGGGCGGTGCGAGCCTACCCAAGCCTTTATCTTTCTTGAGTCGAGCCTACCCAAGCCTACCCTTCTCCAATCTAGGGTAGGCTCAAGCCTACCCAAGCCTCGTGGCTCCGCCGCCTATGTCATAAATACTATCTTGTCTAGAGTGTGGATGAATTTAGTCTTTAAGAATAAAAACTTACCAGTCTTCTCATTCAAATAAAGAAAAACATTTTGAATTAACCTTAATAAGTAATGATGTTATATACATTTGTTAAATGATCATGACTTTTGAAAAACCCTGTATATACGTCTATAGAAGAATTTTTCTAGTATGTGACATGTATGGCTGCAAATCTCAACGAATCTCTGAATTGATACAAAAATTTTTGTCTTTTTAGAACATCGGAAAACCTTATTCGGATGAATAGCAAGCAGTGCTCACCGGTAAATAATGTGAAAAGTATTGATCACACTCGTCATGCTATCGAATCAACGTTTGAAGAACAATATATACAATGGATGTGGATATCAAATTCGGACCCCTATGATTCATCTCAAATGGTAGCGTGGAATCTGTACTCGGATGTGGAAATAGAAATAATTGAAGCAGCATTTCAGAAGAAGGAACCCGTCGTCTTCCTCGATGATTGCTTTATTGAATTAAGCCGTTTTATACAAATCTCGAATACGGAGAATAGTCTTCAACGACCAGTTCAACGGTGTCTGGAAAAATCATCTTGCAAGCCAAGAATCAGAAAAAACCGATTTCAACCGCTCGATTCTATTGTACCAAAAGTATCTTTTGTCGGCGAAGAGTCTTCTGAAGAATTCGTCACTGTGGTTACTCATCAATTTGATCTCGGCAACAAAAAATATGATGATCCATCGGTCATTCAAATGATGGTGAAAAAAGCTGCCGAAGGTCTTATCATTGAAGGCACGATGGTGGGAAAACTGAAAGAAGCCGAATGGATAGCTGAGCAATTACGCAAGGAAACAAACTCGTCTCAACAAGAAGTATGGGAGTGTTGTGCTCGACTCTACAGTATGGATTCATTTCTATATAGACGAATGAATGAGACCATGCGACTTACTGATGATGGTGATGAAGAACATGAAAAATTATGGAGAAGCAAGATTATTTCACTTGGTCCATTTGCTTGGCTTCTCTATTGGATGCGAGAAAAAAGTGATCTCAACTCTACACTCACGGTCTATCGAGGGGCAACACTACCGGATGATGTGATTGCACAATTTCAGCAAGCAACTCAAGACGATCTGTATTCCTTCCAAGCTTTTACATCGACTACTCGAAGTCGACAGATCGCTGACATTTATGGAGGCAATGTTATTTTCATAATTCACATTTCTCTTGAAGATGGCATCGATATACAACGTTATTCGAATTTCCAAGACGAAGAAGAAATATTACTTGCATCTTCATTTCTCTTCAAAGTTAAATCCTATGAAAAAGTTGAAGATAAATGGGAAATTCATCTTGTATCATTGTGGTCTTCTGACTACTGGACTTCATCATCTTCGAGTTCTATTGATTTGTTAGAAGATTAATTTCTTGAAAACGATGATGATTTAATCAACTTTGTTTGAGTATTGCT